TGTGTGTGTGTGTGTGTGTGTGTGTGTGGCAGAGTTAGTCTTAGTAGACCGTCATACATAATATTCCACAGGAGTGGGCCTAGAACTGAGCCTTGTGGCACACCTCCAGTGATATCATAGTCCCTCGGACCGTTCTTCGTGTCATACTTCAGGACCCTGTTTTCAAAGTAGTTTGCTACGATCTTAGGAAGGTATTCTGGTACATTCTTCTCTTGGAGGGCCTGCATGATGCATTCCCAATTGGCGGAGTTGAATGCGTTTCTGATGTCTAGGGTCGCCACCAGGCAATACTCTTTCGTTCCACCCTTCCATCTGGTTCCTGCGATTGCTTCCTTGGCCGTATCAACAACCAGTTTGATTGCGTCCAGGGTTGATCGTCCTTTCCGGAATCCATACTGATTGTCTGCCAGGAGTGGGTCGACTACTACATTTATTCGTTGATGAATTATGCGCTCAAATATCTTACCCGCTGTGTGTGTGTGTGTGCGTGTGTGCGTGCGTGTGTGTGTGTGTGTGTTTTTTTTGGGGTGGGGGGAATCCTTTTTACGGATTCTAGGCATAGTTGTTGGCCTGGATATGTGGCGATTCGACGCAGCGCCACACTAAAACTCGACGCTGACACCCCTACCCACTAAACCCTAAACCCCTTTCTCTTCTATCCTCTGATCCCCCATGGTACCGCCGTAAGGTATTTATTCGCGGGGGAGGAATTAGCTGTCTATATATATATTATATATATATATATATATATGTTTTGGGAAAAAATTTTGAAAAATGCCAAATTTGTCAGATTTTGAATTTTTGAAAATCGTCAAAAATGACGGTTGACAATAAATTTTTTGCTCAAATTTTTTTATATACTACCTTGTACCAATCTTAAGAGATCCTGAAATTTTTGGATCTGTGTTTTTTGTTTTTTCAAAAATATGAATTTTTGAAATTTGTTAAAAAAAAAAATTTTTCTCCAAAATTTTTTTTTTATTTTTATCTTAATTGGGTTTGGTAAATCGCGTAATTTCGCTATTCTGAACAGTTAAAATGTCATTTAGTGGCATAACGATGAGAAAAAATAATTTTAAGAAAAATTTTTTTTTTTTAACAAATTTCAAAAATTCATATTTTTGAAAAAACGAAAAACACAGTTCCAAAAATTTCAGGATCTCTTAAGATTGGTACAAGATAATATGCGAAAAAATTTGAGCAAAAAATTTATTGTCGACCGTCATTTTTAATGATTTTCAAAAATTCAAAATTTGACAAATTTGGCATTTTTCAAAATTTTTTCCCAAAATATTTTTTTTTCAATAGCCCCAAGTGTCCCCGTTCAAACAAACGGGAGATCATTCCTGTATCATATACTACCGTTCGAGATATTACAAAAATAAAATTGAAAAACTGGAAAAATCACGAAATTTTGAGTTTGCATATCTTCTAAGAAAAATTTTTATATTTTTTTTCCTCTGGCAGAACTTGGTTATATGATAAAAGATAACTTCTGACTAAAATTTGTCCAAATCGAAAGCGGTCGATTCCAACTATTGGTCGATTTGACATGGAATGACCCACATACGACACGAAACATCAACAACAAATATAACATATACAATATTCTGGCGCATGCGTGTAAGGCACCCTTAATTTACTTCACTGTGATGTAAAATCTACATCACGGTGATACAATATTTGTATCACCGCAATCCAAAACTAACGCCACTCGTGCAGCTGGATTTTTACATCATTTGTGGTGCAAATTTTAAATCATCTTTTTTTTTCCGTGGAAGTTTGTGATATGTGTATAGGCAAATTAAAGGTTTATTAATGGAAAATTAGCTTATTCACGAAAAACCCATTCAGTATTTTTTGTTTAGTAACTGAAGTAAATTAATTTTTTTTCGGTCAATAATGTATTTGAGTTTTTTATTTAGCACAACATTTGAAAGTAATCTTACATCTCAATGAAGGTATATAAGTATTATTAAAATCAGTTTGCTTAGGGCATCAATAATATACGAACTTCTCTGAGTTGTGCAAATTTACCCCACATGACTGCGCACATTTCGCTGCGATACGAAGTTAGTGTGCACATATTGAATCATTCGGAATAATCCGTTTTTTCCATAATGATATGGTTTCAGACTATACTTTTCAATTTAATTATGACCTAAATAAATATTTTAACCGAGACACATTATCCTTTTATGATTATCGTTTAATTGTGACGGTAATTCCGATGTTTAAATGCGCACACTTGACCCACATGACTCTACTATTCTCAGATCTAAAGAACATTATCTTGATTTTTAGTATTTTACCATGATCAACAAACACTTACTTTCCAAAGATTCAAAGAGACAATAGAGTCTGTAACTCAGCATGCTCTAAGGGATTTTGATTCAATCAAAGACAGTAATTACAGAGGATCGTACACTTGTGACTCGCAGGAGTGGAAAGAAGGTATATTTATTTTCCTACTGTTTCCATCCCATGCCAGTTTGACTTCATACTCAAACACTGAAATCACCAAAATAATTGATGACTTTTTTTTATGAATTAATTAGGAGAAAATTTCATCCGTGTTAAAAATTACATCTCGGTGCAGTTTGACAAAGGTTACTGGGTGGATTATGTTCACGATCTTAAAGCTGTTGCCAAATCAAAAGAATACGATTGTCCGAATGGTTGGGCCGAATATAAAGCTGTACCTGGAGCTGATTATGACACAAAAACTGAATTGTGTACAAGTGTAAGTATTTAGCTTTTGATTATTTTATCTTTTACACGCCTCCTCTAGTTAGAAATGAAATCGAGTTTCTTGGCCAGCAACTAGCCAGTTCAATTAGACTTTAACCAGAAACCAGCCAGTCTAATATCAAGTTTCTGTCAAGTAACTGGCAAATTTCCCAAGAGATATAATAAAACATGGCGGCTTTGAAAAAACTGTCAATTTTTGAATGAAAACTTTGAAGTTATCAAAATTTTCAGTCGATCAGAAATGTAAAAAAAATTTATTTAAAAAGATTAACAATTAAATCTAACGTAAATAAATGATCGATAAAAAATCAAAAAGTTAGGTAAAACCAAATGTGCATGCCTTAAACGCTCATGTCATACGTATTTTATTAAAATTTTTTTAATTTCTTGCGCATTATTTATGACGTGAATAAAACGTAAAGACGTTATATCAACTACTTACAAGTCGATACGCATACATAGGTTATCTCGGTCGCAGAATCACTGTGAGAACTCTGTTTTACTAAAAAAATAAAACATATGATCGACCAAAATGGGAAAATTCGGTGTGAATGTCAATCAAAATGTTTTAATTACAATACTAAACGAAGCAATGTCAAGCTTTGATATTGAATATTAGGGTTCTTCATTAAAATTTAATGACGAGGCTGAAAAAAAAATGAATCTTAAAATTGTATATATTTTTAGTTTTCCTAACCACACCACCATATTTTGACAGTTATTCCTGCTAAAGTGTAAAAAAAAAAACGGATTTTTGACTAAATTGATAATTAATTTACTAAGCAGGGTTGTTAATTAGTTCAGTAATCATTCTTCTTGCCACCAGTGTATTTTTTTTAAACATTCATACGAGGATTATGAATTAAAAATACAATTTCTCTTGACGAGATAGGAAACTTAATTTTTAGACCTCAGTAGAGCTATAAGTACATTCGCGCTTAAGGCATGCAATAAATAAATAAATATTAATTTGTATAGGCTGGCAATAGCCTAGTCGGCTCGGTGCCCGGTTTTCGAAAGAGTGGGACCCGGGTTTGATCCCGACACGCACCACTATTTTTACATGCTTTTTATTAGCTTCACCTGTATGTTTGTATGTTTGTAACCGACTTCTTTCGGCGCGATATTGACCCACTTTAAACGGCCAGATTTCGTTGAAACTTTGTAGATTTATCGAGGACCGATGACAATACACTAATTTGATAAAATTATTACATTTTTCAATTTGCAAAATATGATTTTTGTTAATTTATATAATTTTCATCTACAGTCGATAAGGTAAGAAACGTTAATTTTAATTTTTTATAATTTTTCTCTACAATCCATAAGACAGGACTTGATGTTAATTTTAATTTCCAATAATTATCTTCAGCCGATTTCTCTAATATTGACAAATTTTCGAATACTAAGGAGAATTTTAATTCTACAAAACAAATAATAGTTTAAAAAAACTAA